GCATATAAACATGTACATGTGAAAAAATCTTTAACCAACTGTCAATGAATTCAAACTTCCACCTCTAAATGTTTTATAAGTTGCAAATAAAGTATAAAAGTAAGCCTTACATTCTAGTAGCAAGAAATTGACAGGATAAGTCTACAAGAACACATACTCTTTATGATATTCTTTTCCTTAAATTAATCTTGTATACATACTTATACTCTGTCTTTATGCTACTAGTTCACTCCAAGTCAACTAAACAACAGAATAGCAAGTAAAAGAAGCCAAGTTGATAAGAATAACATTCATGCTAATAAATGATTATGAAAGACCACCATCAAAAAACAAATTATTAATTAGATTTTCTTCAAGGATTATCCTTATTACAGTATTTCCAATTCTTGCCCAAACCAAGTTATATAACAATATGTACATATTATCAGACCCTCTCTGTGTTTTATCACCCCAGTTTGATATTTAGCAAAATGTTCCATGTTTTTAGCTATGGCATTCATGACTTAAAAAACAAAATTCATAAAAGGCAGTGAGTGGCCTATTTTCTATCATTAAATGAATAAGAAATTATTTATTTTAGAACACCTAATCAATAGTCAAGATTCTAAACTAATTAGGCTGATACATATGTGCCATCAGTATCATACATGTACTATTAAACTTTAGAGGCTTATAAACAGTTTTGTGCTAAATTCCTTTCTCTATATTTAGAGTACTGAATTTCTTAAACAGCTTATCTAAGACATGGAATTTATGTTAAAAGCTTGAATATTTTAGTTCTTTGGACAATTTTATTGATACAATAAATTATTTTATTATTTTTTATTTCTGCTGAATGATTGAAAGGTTAAATAGTCATTATAATGACTTGAAAAAGCAATCAGTTAATCTGAAATTGTATATGTACTTCGATAAAACTCAATTTCTTACAACAAGATTATGCAACACAATGGCTAGATTCTGATTTTTATAATTTTGGTGCAAATCAAAAAGTGTTTTCAAATACAAAAATGGAATCATTCTTCAGCAAAATATTTATCATACAGATAAATGTTATGTTGAAATACTTGTAAGAAGACTGATTGGATCAGTTCACAGTCAATTTGTTCCTCTACTTACTAAAATCATACTAAAAAGTTTACAGAACCTTAAGATTATTACAATGAATATTGCATAGTACAGAAGTAGTGGTACAACATAGTCATCTGTAATTCCAAGGGCAAAAATATGAAGCAAACAGGGATAGTATGAAAGGCATCAACACCTGATCATGTGATACTGCAACCGGTTATGATAAACACATGAACACAGCATATCAACTGAGCCATGACAGATTTTGTAAAAATGAGATTATGCTACAAATGAAATTGTTTGATGTTAGACTACATGTTTGAAAGTACACAAATTGGAAGAAAAAATGTAAAAAGCTGTATATGAACCCACCCACCCCCTCTCATTCTTGATGCTTTTATATTATTACTAGCTGAAAAGCAGTGTAAAAAGCTTCCTATTGTCAGTATGGGTGACAGGATGTTTGTGTATCATAACAGTAAGTTGTTTACTGTAAAATATGTTATTCTATCTACATTCTCAGTCTGTGACCTGCAATATACACTGCTAATAACCTCCAGATAATTATCAAACTTTTTTTTGGAAATAACTTTCTATTTTATTTGTTATTTTCACTATTGTATCTCTTTATGGGTTTGGTCGATTTGACCAACCTCATAAATTAGAAAATAAATCAAAATTACACTTTTTTTTTGTTAAAAAATGAATACAAATTATAACATAAAACTACAATCATTTGGTCTAAATTGCTTAACTCTCATAACATAACATATAGATATATAATTATTTTTATTTTATTTACCTTTCAGCAGTGTCTGACTAACATTTCAGAAGTTGCGATGACGTGGTGCATGTGCACTCATGTCACCGTATCCAATAAAATTGGCCTTTACAAAGTGACTTGTCTTGACTTTGTTCTAGTGGACCAGTATTTTGTAAAATACAGTCACATTTCAGTTATAATACATTATATATATGTATATATATTATTACTATTTACAAATAAGTCCTTAAATTTCAGTAATTTTTCTTAAAACGTAGAACAGTAAATAAACAAGTATAGAAAACAATGATCTCCTTTACTTACAAACTTTGTACTCATTTACCACTTGCTGTAATTTGCTAAGCCTTATCAAACTTTGCACATGGAGCATACAAAACAAAATACTTTTTTTAGGTTTTATATATGCATTTTGAAATAACAAAAAATCATAAATTACTATATCAATACCATAGAAATCCACTATAATTTACCAGGCTTAGTAACTAAGTTGTACTTGGGGTCTAAAAAATGATTTTTCAAGCTCCATAATGTCTTATCTTACTGCTTTGATTCTACCATGAAAAGAAAGTGTTCCCCACATACACACTTCACACAAGCTGAGAAAACCATTAGTGGGACATTCTGAGCTTTTTATTGGTTATACACACATCATTGGGCTAAGTAGATGTATGTAAGCTTTTTCAAAAATGGAAGAGGTGGGCAGGGCCACCTTGGTTGATTCACTTAATATAATAATAACTCAGAAAATGGAAAAGTTAAGAGATTCTTATCATATATTCTAGCTTGTCAATACTGGGAATATGAGTGTTTAATTCATATGCAACTTTAGACTTTGTATTTGAACATCACAAACATCTAATTTGAACCAAAGTTGCATTCAACATACTATGCGACACACAAAATCGATATTTTGGATTTTTTTTAATACTTACTTTTAAATTGAGAAATTAACTAATGTATAACACTAAAATATTATTTATAATCTACAATTTGATACCAAACTTCGTGACATATATTCATAAGACAGTAGTTCAATATACTTTTGAATGCAAGTCTGCAAATGTGATGACATTCCCTTTGACCCCTGACCAAGAAAAAAACCTGTCTCGATTGGGTTAAGTTGTAGTGGTACTCTTGATGTAGCATTTCCATTTGAAAAACAACATAAAAAGTCCCATAAAAGGATATTTTCTTAAGTATCACATTAAAATTTCAAGTTCTCAAGTAAATTGTAAACAGAATAGTTTACAAGTTCAAAGTTTAAAATTTCAATTCACAAGGATTTAATACCCATCATATGTTTGTCAATTTTCAAAAAAGTTGTTTTCAAATCATTTAATTACACACTTTCTTACATTTCTTACACAGGACTGGTAAATTTTATTATCACATTAATTTAAACTGACTTGCATCATCTACATATCAAAATTAAAAACAAATCATTTTGTTAATTTATTTTATGTTGTACTTAATTAAGGACATTCATTGTGTCTTCACAAGCTGGTACATAATTTTTACCTGTTTTGATAGCATATATTGCAGTCAACTATACAACCCTACAATAGAAAGTTATTCATAATCCGAGTTATCTAAGCATTGGGCTAGGTACTCTTTTTTTACAATTTGACACTTGATGTCGTACCATAATTTTAAGTGTTAGATATTAAAAAGGGCACCTCGCCCAATATTATTATTAGCCCAAAAGTATAGTAACATTTTAATCTGAAGTAATTATACTGGTATTGCATTGTAGTACATGCCAAGGGTGGGGTAAAGTTGAAAGTGGATATTCAAAGTTCTGCTTCTTGCTTCCTGAGAAGTTTAAAAATAAGTTTTTATTTACCTTAAGACATTTAACAAGTACATAATTATGATGGATTTGAATTTCAGGTATATAAATTAAGAAACTATAGTGTCAAACCATGAGGAAGACAAGTTTTTAAAACTTTTTTTTTTATCAATTGGTCAGGCAACCTACTAGGAACAATGCTAATTTACATTTACTGTCAGCTGCCAATATGGAAATGGTTGAAATTAGGAAACACCTGGGTGGAAGTGATCATTGCTCAATTAGGTTTGATGTTTTAGTGCATATTGAAATCAGGAAAATTAGATTTTAGTTTAAAATTTCAAAAAGGTGATTCTGAAGGGAGGTGATAAGAATTACCTATTGAGAATTGAACAACTGAATTAATTGGAGATACTGAACAACTGCATAATTATATTTTTAATTTTTAATATTTGAGATAGAAATGTTCGTTTTATAGAAATAAATGTCTGTGTAAAAACCAGGTAATGGTTAAGCTTAAAGAAGAGCATCATCATAAATTCAAGAAATTTAAATTTACTGCTATGATGTGAGACTTAAGATGATTATAGAAGATCAAAATGTTGGTCAAAAATATTATGATGCAATCAAAACAAAAAGGTTGACTAAAATTGTAGAAATTAACAGTAAGAATAAATTTAAAAACGTTAAGGATAAACAAAATGTTGTGATGGGAACAGATCCTTTAGGAATGATAAAGGAAAATTCACTTCTGATGATTATGAAATTGCTGGGTTACTAAATTCTACTTTTTCTTCAATTTTTCCTAACAAAGATTTAAGCAATATTTCTCATCCTGAACAAATGCTAAATAGAAACATGATCAAACAAGATGATATTAATTATAAGCTTGTTCAAAAAAATTGGAATGTTTAAAGAATAATAAGACAATATTCTTTGAAATTGAAGATGCTACTTCTTATGCTGATGAAGGTTTGGTGTATCTGAATTTTCAAAGGCATTTGATAAGGTGTCACACAAAAGTCTTGTTTAAACATTATTTCTATAGGTATAGGAAACAAGATGGCTCAATGGATCCAAAAAATGGCTTGCCGGAAGAATATAGAGGATTCTTATAAATGGAATTCAGTCAAACTGTATCAGTGTTACAAAAAGGGCACTTCAGGGTTCAGTGTTAGGACTCAAGTTCTTTTTTTTTCTATTTACATTGCTGATCAACATAGACAATGAATTGCATTTACAAAAAAAAAGCTATACAAAGTAAATGATTCATTATTTCACACAGTTCTTACCTAAACTACAAAATTTTTGTTTTTATTATGTTTTCTGCAAACTTACAAAAGCTAATAAACTTACCTTAACTCCAACAACTTCAAGCATTTCTTTTTTGTCAGTGTCTCTTGGACCAATATGTCTCTTAGAAAATTCATCATGATCAGGGATTAATATTTTGCTCTTACTCTCGGCTGAGGCAGTAAAAACTGACCTAGTAAGATCAATACTAGTAGTAGACGTTGAACACCTGTTTATTACTACACAATCACGTAATTTGCCAGTGTCACTCGGGCGATTTTTGGTGTTACTGTGTTTACCTGCTACACTTAAGTGATTGTTTTGACTTTTAGGTGAAACACTCCTTAGCTTATTTCGAAAAAAACCATATTTTCCCGACGTTTGTAAGACGTATTTCACGAGTCTTAGTCTCACCAAACTTAGCATTGTAAACTTTTTTCAAGTATAACGTTAACACTGTAAGTTGTAAATAAATGTATTATATTATGGTATAAAATTAAAAGACACCGTGAAATGGTACGATATATTAATTTATATAGAGTAGTACTAGTACAAGTTAATTTAAACAAAAAGTTATGAACGCAGACAGCAGTGTATGTTAACTTTTAGTTTTATAATTAACAATAAATTGAATAATAGAAATCAAAATTACTACACTGACGTTTTCAAATTTGAGTGTTTCATATAACATAAGTATTATAACTTATAATTATAACTAAACAAGTCTAAAGTACTGGAACTTATACGATATATCAGTAATTAGCAATAGAAGTTTCTTTCGGAACGCACAGAAACTGTTTGTAACTGTTTTATTCCATAAACTAAGATAATATACCACACCGAGAAAGAAAGAATTCAGACGGATTATGGAACCTTACACATACACTTTGCACCAGTTATCTATGTACATATTAGGTAGGCATTTGAAATACAGGTGGTCACGCCACCAGACGATATTTTATAGTACGCATGCGCATTCTTTGATAAATAAGTTATATGAAATATAAACTTTTAATCGAAAATTTCAATTGCAGCCCTAAATAATTTCTAAAAAATGCATCATATAGAAATATGCATTTCTTCAAAAAATTTACATTTGGTAAGCATTTATACTTGCAGAAGTAAGAGGTGGTCACGGGATTAGTTACAAGGTCATCATCAGTTATTTTCTTATTTTCCTATACTTATTTATCCACTCCAGCCCCTAGCGTGCCTCAAATCGAGTAAGTTATTATAACAACGCTGTGTTCATTTTTCCCTCCCGCTAAAATCCGGTATTCGGTTCTCCGCGGTGGAAAAAATTACTTGTAACTCCTTGTGTAGCTCTATGTTTAAACATTAACAAAAACGAATTGTCATTTTTTGTGATCTTTTACAGGTACAATCCTTGGGGAATCAGAAATCAATTATTTTCCCTTCTTTAGGTGTGCCCACCTCCCATACAGCCTACGAGAATATCCCTTTAAAGTTTGATAGCGAGCAGGTTAATCAGTCATTGAAACTAAATTAAAATATCTATATGTCATATAGTTAAATTATTAAAAACGTTTTAGTTCAAATATTTAAAATATAATATTATAGCCAGTATCAAAGTAAACATCTGGAGCTGCATAAATTTTTTTAAAAAATCAACTATCCAATACAACATCTTATTAAGTATTTATTGTATATTAGAGAAGAAAAAGTCACCATCAGGTTTGACGACAGCCAGAGGCGTGCAACACTGGACGTGACAAGGTAAAAAGTCTGCTCATCTCTCCCACATCTACTAACGTAGTACTGAACTGTACAATTCCAATCTTCACTGGTAAAAACCAGTTTTCATATGTAATTTTATATTCCTCGTTTTTAGTACCTTCACAAACTCTAAATTATCCCATAATATTGTTTAAGCTCTACTTGGCCCCTTGTTCCTTATAATTAAGGAAGCTCTCCTTAGTGATTCCATTGTTGGGAGAGCTTTAACCACTTATTATGGCATTACATTTAAGGTTTTAGAAAAGAACAGAAGGGTTCTACTTACTCTAAAACAACTCTAATCCTCTATACATCTATGGTATAACTAGAGAAAGTAAAATATATCTGTAGGTAATCTATATATTAATTTTTATCTTCCCTATTCTTCTTATCAGTTCCTCCCTTTCCTCAACCCGAAAAAACCTGTGATTGCTCCTCACAAACATCTTTGTGAGCACCACTCACAAGAAAACAAGATAAATAAAAAATTGGTAATTTAAAACCTGCAAATAGGGATTGTAAAAAAAAGTTAGGAAACAAGGCTGAAGATACCGTAGACATTATTTACTCAAACTACAAATGCCTATTTTGACTCCATGCTGTTACCTAAAATTACATTTGGTGGAGTCAAAATAGAGATTTGTAGCTTAAGTAAATAATGTCTACAGTAGCTCCAGTCTTGTTCCTTACTTTTTTATGATCCCTATTTGCAGTTCTTAAATTATCAATTTTTTATTTATCTTGTTTGCTGGCATTTTATGCTCAACTATGGGCAAAGGATTACTTGATATGGTAACCAACTTTATATATATTGTTACGACAGCGGGGATCACGTGACGCTAGTAACATGTCATATTATCGAACGTTCACATCCCTTCCTGAAGTCTCGAGAGGTTACTAAATATGCGGTAGTCTTGTATATATAAGCCGCCAAGAAGTGACGGCAACAATGTGTAATTGACAGTTGAGTCGAGCACATGAGACGTTCGTTGTGAATTAAAGCGTTTGTTATAGCACGACTGTGGAAATTAAGTGTATTGCAAAGTTGTATTCAGAAAGAATAAACCAGTTTTATTTAAGAAAGGACTTGTATCGGTAAAGTTTCTTCGGAAATAATTTTTACGGAAAATCAACTAACGACCACAGACGTAACAAATTGGTGTCAGAGAGTGGGATAGAAAAAAAAGAAGAAGATAGAAACGAGAGGCGGAAAATTAAGCTACAGCTTACCAGTTTTGATGGCAGCAATACAAGAACATCAAAAGAAACAAGAAGAGAGATTACAGCCATGGCAAAATAACTTGCAACAGTGGCAGCTCGAACAGCAAAATAAACAAGAGAGATTACAGCAGTGGTTGGAGGAGAAAGAAAATTAACAAGAAGAGAGAGGCTACAGCAGTGGCTGGAGGAGAAAGAAAATAAACAGGAAAGTCTCCAACAGTTGAGAGAAAGTCAGAGTACACAAATGGAAAACATTAGTAAATTTCAAAGCAAATTAAATGCATTAAAGGATGATTTATTGTCTTTTACACAAGGAGGATACATTAACCATCGACTTAATCAGCCCAGACAACGGGAAGCCCCTTCCAGAACCCAGCTAAACCCTAATGCAGACATCTTCAGTCCTGTTAGAAGTCACATCCCAGATATGAATGTCAGCAATAGGGGTGATCCAGTACGAAGGAAGCCACAGGAATTCGGTGGGAATGCACCGTGAGAAGAATATAGAGCACAATTTGAGCTACTGACAAAAAT